CGACTCGTTCGAGATACGCGACGCGGTTCAAACCTAACCTAGACCGTTCTTCAATTTTATGCTCATCACGGTTCGATGCTTCCGTGAATATCGAACGGTTTCCGATATCACTCGGTTCCACGTAATTACCTGCAGTAAAGCAGAAATTGGGAAACGCGTTCATGCGTTACTCCGCCTATCCCCTTCAGGAAACTTCATCCGTAGGTCTGGAAATTCCGAGCTTGGTCCTACTTCAAGGAAACAATGGCTCGAACGTGGCCATTTGTGGTGCTCGTCGGAGAAGATAAATGTTTGAAACTAAGAAATTCTGAACAATAGCTGTTCTACTCTTGATTTTTAAGCAGGCGCTTGGGGGTCTAGCGGGTCTCTACTGGAATATACTAAGCGCTACTGCTCCATAGAGATTAGCTATTTTTTAATTAGTGCATCTATATATGGGTTAATCCGGTATCTCTGAAGTTGTACACCCATTATGCACATTTTAAAATTAATTTTTCAATTTATTATTAGCATTCATCGATGTTCTGTTGCATAATTTTATTCGAAACTCAAATATAATTCGAATTATAGGGAGTTAACCGCTGGAAAGTCGTAGCGAATGCACACGGTTACGGAAATTCGTGCAAAGTTAGATGACTTTGGTCAGCTCGAGGCTACCCCTTCTACTTTGCATGGAAGCTGCGCAATATACGTGCGCAGAATCATTATGCCACTGACCGTACGACAGAGCGGATCGACCCGTCTCGTACGTCTGACGTGGAGAATTAATTTAGTCGCGTGTTGCGAATCTAATGAATTATTGTAAGATACAGAACTTCGATTATTGCAGGCAAAAGTATTGTAAAACTTTTCTTTTCCGACTGTCAAACTTGGCTACTTACGACCATTGATTCTTTCTTTAGAAACATCTCCCGGTCCTTGCGAGACACCTTAATAAATTTTCATCAACTTGATCGACGATTCGAAGCGACGCCCATCTTCGGTGATCGATAGAAACGCGTCGACCAACTGACTATAAAGTGGATTATTGCCCTACTCGTCTTTCTTTCCTACTTTCAATCTTCTTCATCAGTATGGTATGATCTTCCGATTTCGTAATCGTTCTCCCAGCAACATTCGAAAAAAAGGATCCACGATGGAATCTTTTCTTCCAGTCTCACCCAGTGTCCTTTTGTTTGCGCTCTTCGATTGCGGCTTCGACTTGGCCAGGAACCCAACCAGAAAGCCGAGCTAATTGTATACCTGGTGACATGGTTTAGTTCTATCCTAGGGACAAATGGGAAGGGTCCTATTTAAGAAGTTGTATTATTCATAAGAATGTATTGCAGCGAATATCTTTGAATTTTTTTTAAATTTATTTCATATTGTATTAAATTTTTTCGTCTTCTACGCGTTGAGCACGTGAATAACGGGCTGCTTTGTTTAATAGAGAAAGGGTGCTCGTTAATTTTCTCGTGGTGGGTTATAACCCATGTTTCCTAACAATATAATATAATTCTATATAATATTAATATGAAACATGCTGGCAATATGAAGCATATTACGCATACTCGACGTCTACCATATTGAGTATCCACATTCTTCGATAGGAAAGTAATGATTATACTAACAAAGGCTAATGTAATCACCCGAGGGATGCACGATGATTTTGGTAAACCCCGGTATACAGGTAGGATATCTAAAAATACTACATATTCCTTTTAATTTTAGAAATTAATATTTAAGGGATGAAATTATCCTTCTTTTCATTTCACAGTGATTGAATATTACTCTAAAAATGGATAAACTTCCCGTAAATCAATATATGGATTGTTTTACGTTTTTTAGTCGCTTATATTAAAACAAATTCTCGGACTACAAACGGTTATAATTTCTCGGCACATCCACGCTGTGCAACTATCCAACGCACAAACCGAGCCACTCGTCCCTACGTTGGAACGAATTGCTAATGTCACCAGGTTTACTAACTCGTTGCAATTCCACTGAGTTATTCGATTCTTTACGACTGTTCTACTCCCCTGCTGAATCTCTTCATTTTCTCTTAAACGATGCTCGTTCAATTTCCCCGTAAATGGCTCGAACTCCGTCGTCGATTTACGACTCCGTGCGAAAAACGTGTCCGCGTAACATCTACTACGCGTGCGCGTAACTGTCCGCCACGCATGCGCGTCAACAGAAATCACCTCCACACGCCGCCAAGCAAGGTACGTTATCCTTCGACGAACCGAACGAACTCCCACAACGCCGTCTCGGCGACGCAAGCCCCGCAAAAGTACCCGCTCGTACTTTTCTGCAATTTCGACGTTTCCGCACGCGTTCCTTTTTCCCTTAGTTGGCTTGCCACTTTGTAAGAGAAAACGCTAGCTCGTTTTTTGGTTCGATGGCCGCCGGTAACGGGTAACGCTGCAAACCACGTTCCTAAGGAGAAAGGTCACTGCTCCCCCACTGTTCTTATCACTTCGTTTTCTCGCCTATTCGCTCCTCGCTTGTTACTCACCGTCAAGGCCTCTGAGAAGAACTTTACCGGGGGGTACAAAGTCTCGTTTTGGGCCCCTTGCCTCCTCTATTAGTAATTCTATTTTTATTATTGTTTTATGCCTTTTGTTGTAGAAATGTGAAATGTAAACGTTTGTTGAGGTCCCAGGAAATTTCCGTCTCCTCTCCTTTGGACCCGGGGTCCTTTTACGATGTACCCCCTGCTGCAGCCACCTCTCATGTGCCCTGCTCACCGTTGCTCTATCATATTCTATCGCACTTCCAGGAGCCCGCCGCCGTTTTGTACATATAAGAAATATTTTTTTTCTCTTTTCTTTTATTTTTGTTTTTACGGCGTTGTACATACGACATGTTCTCGCGACGTACAGTTAGATTTGTACATGTTGATACATAATTGTTGTGCCCGTGCATGCTCGTAATGGTTATCGTACACGTAGATCCGCCCTTCACTCGTTTGGCGAACATACGCGAACGCAGTTCTGTACAACCCCCATTCTCAAACCCTGCCGTTTGGCCGTCATGCGACCGTTTAATTGCATAATGTTTACGAATTGTCTTTACCTGAGTGCGGCGAATTATTCGTATCACCTGCAACGTTAGATTTTACTTCACTGTATGTATATGTGTATATACACTCGCGTGTCTCGGAACCGTCACCGTTCGATGGTAAACCCCCTTTTGCAATATCTTTGCTCACTTCTTAACTGTTTTTTTTTTTGCATACGCGCGGGCCGAATATCATTTTTTCGTATTCTATCTTTCGGAAACTTTGTTCACGCACAAAAATTTCCCCATTTTTCACTCTCTTGATATAACCACCTCCCCTTCTTCAAGATTTTGATTGTATTTGACGGTTTGAATTCAAAGATCAAACAGTGACATTCTGCACAATAATTCATTTCAATGAGCATTTTTATGATCAATAAAAATTTCAAGTATTAAAGTCTTCGCGTTTAACCTCAGATTTTATTTTACTTTTTTGTTCAATTTTACATAATATTTACAATCCTTTTAAAACATGAAATTTGCAGCAAAATGATCAAAATCTCGGTTGGGGTTGCTGGCACTCTGTGAAAATTAAGGAGCGTTATCGACCAATTAAATGTAGCTTCAATTTTTAATAAAAAAAAAGAAGAGAACTTCAGCATTTCTAATGGGACGTTGTCGAGTGGACGGTCGACAATTCTCCCGTAATTTTGACAAATTTTTCTCTTTTGTGATTTAAGCACGAACCCTTGACACACCGGAGCATGGTTCTCGAACAATTATTCGTTGAAGCTCGCGCGTATGCATTTTCAACTGCAGCCGCTAGTGCACGTTTTCGATTTTATATTACCAAAATTAACACGTTCATTACAGGATGGAAAATGAATTTTTCTTTAAAAAGGTTTAACATCTTCTCCATTTAAATTTAATATATTATAGGTGGACATTCTCGAAAAAAATAAGTCTCAAAAGCTAAATAGGTACAGTAGTGTCCGATTATATGCGAAGGTTTCACCCCGGACGCATGCGAAAAAATCATCCCCATCACTGTTTACATTTTTTCAGCCCATACGATCATTGACTTGATCGGACAGTAAGTATAAAACAAAGCAAAACCCAACTCGTTGAGATTAAAAGCACCGATGCATGTATATTTATGTGATTATCACTATAGTATACTAAAATTTTTATATTTATGTTATCAATGGATCGTTGAGAATTTTCTGATTTAAATGAGTACAAACACGACTATATTCGAACTGTTTTTAAATTTTCGTTATTTTAATTATTTAACTATCATATTTTTAACACAGATACGCACCTTTACTAGCATGATTCCGACGCACACGAGTATCAAGTTGTCTATTGCTAGGAGCACTTAAAAAAATAAGCACGAATAGTTAAGCGTAGTTTATTTTGAACTTAAAATTGTTTGTTGTTATTATTTTGTACACACAATCCAACCCACACCATTACTTTTTGCCTTAGTACTGTTTATTGTTTCCACTGTAAACGTTACGACATGAAATAACAAAATAATAAACTGTGTATACCTAATTTTAAATTGAAATATAATTTAACATCAGAAATAGGTTAGTTCGCATATATTCGGACGCTACTATGTCTCCTCTACAAAAATCAACAAAATAGCGGTAGTAAATGCTCAGTAGAACCGATGGACGCAAGGCAAATAAAATCTATTTCCTCCGCGATGAACGTGTTAAGAAAAGAAAAAAAAAATGAAACGAAAAGAAGAAAACGAAAGAAAAAATGAATATTGCAAAATTAACGATAACGAATAACAAAGAGAAAAAGAAACGGCCAGCGGCTGCAGTTTCGATGGCGAACGAAACGCGTAAAGTACCGCGCCTGTCCTGCACCCACCCCGCTGCTCGAAACATGACATTTGAAAGATGAAAAGTGGCAGCGAAATAAAGGCTGCCAGTCCGGCTGCTAAAACGCTGACGCCGGCGAACGGTCGAACGATGATGATAATCGATCCTGATCTAATGACGTAGCATGCGACATGAACGTACACAAACGATGCGAGGAGAGCGTCCCGAATCTCTGCGGATGCGATCACACGGAGAGACGTGGTCGCATAGACTTGCACATTTCGTGTTCCGGAAGCAAGCTCACAGTCGAAGGTTAGTCTACTCCTTTAACTTACTACCAACAGCGACAATAACAATAAGTCCTATATTGTACCAAACACGTATCGAGAAGTTCCTTCAAATAAGGATTAATTACGTGAATGCGTTTTCGTAAAGTAACCAATTAAAAGTAATTCGAAATATGAAAGAGAACTTTGTGGCTTTCGAAACGATATATCGTGCGTGCGCGTTCGATCCAATATGTCTGCCCATTATTGGGTATTTCTACTTGCGATTCTTAACACTTTGACGCTGAGGGAAATAAATATTAATAGGATTCGTAAAAGCAAGATTACAGAAATAATTACTGAAACAAATTTTTAGGTTATATAGTTTACAATGTAAACCTGTTGATATTTGTGGCGTAGTATTATTTGTCGATCTTATTGTATTTTAGTTTGCTGAAACGTCACTAGTTTCGCTAGTTGTCGAACACAAGATGTGTGTGATTTATATAAGATGGTATAATGGACATAACATTCCTTGGACGTTTCTACTTGTGATTCTTAACATTTTGACTGCCGCAGTGAAATTAGAAAAATTAATTCTCAAGTTAAGACGTCGGGGGAAATAAATTTGAATAGGATTTGTCAATTTTAGAAAGATTACAGAAATAATTACTGAAACAAATTTTAGGTTATGTAGTTTACAATGTAAACCTGTTGATATTTGTGGCGTAGTATTATTTGTCGAACTCATTGTATTTTAGTTTGCTGAAATGTCGCTAGTTTCGCTAGTTGTCGGATACACAGGACGTATATGATTCATATTAGATGGTATAATATACTGGTACAATAAAATTCCTTGGGCGAACATTTCCAAACCCCTCGAGAAAAACTTATCAGTAAACCAAAAGAACAAGGAGTATGTTTGATGATCGACTAGAAATAACTTCTGGCTATGATTTGAGTTGTACGCGAGCGATCGATCTTCCCGTCTCCTTAAACTTTGAAAGTTTGTTGACATTTCGTGCGTTTCTCGTTACTTGGATGCAATGATCGCGGGCAAAGTTTAGGGCGCGTAACGAGCATGGCGGGGGAAAGTTCGGCATAGCATTATCACGAAAATGTAATAACAACCTAAACGCCGTCGTCACGAGCCAAGACCACGACTATTTATAGACCAGGATAATACGTTCTGGCCCATATAGGTTTCCAACTTTATCGGCCTCGGCGCGTAGCACGAAACGCGCTTATAGTTCGTAAACGGATTTAGTTTCTTGCCGCTTTCCCGCGATAATTGTTATTAAAAATATCTTCGGGATCGATTTATCGACGCTCGCGCCGGGAACAACGTTTCTCAAGTACCACGGGAAGGATTATCGTTAAACAGGTACTCGGAGGAACGCGTGATCTTTTATTATTAGACCAGTTATTATCAGCCGAATCGCGCTTCTTTCGACTCAAGGTCGCCGCGATAAACGAGGTCGTAATTATCCGCGATGAAATCTCTTTGTTTCTCTTCTCCCGCGTCCTACGGAACGGGACCTTTTGTCTCGGGTCGGAAGCAGAGTGATTTCAAATTTACTGACTTTTTTTACGATCGGTTGTAAGTGCAATCAAAGCTGCAAGGTTCAAAATTAAGTTGGTAATATTGTCAGCAGTTTTACACTATAAGTTTTAATTTCTGAAGTATCGAGAGAAATATGTTATCCATTCCCAACATTGAGAACAATTTACATCCCGTAGATATGGGCGAGTTATTTTGATAAATCATATCGTAGAATTATTTAGTATATAAATTTCGTAAGAATCACTATGTAACAAGTGATAGATCCTTATTAGGTGTCGACGCAGGTAGAAATAGTGAATAATGGACAGACGTATTAACCAAATAGTAACAAGGAACTAGGAACAAGACACCTTGGATATTTGCCATAATAGAATGTTGCTAACAAAGCTTGTATAGATTTAAGGCATAATATGGTAATAGTAGTTTTTTTTTATTTGACCGTGTAAAATTTCGTTAGGTTCATTTCAATTGTAATAATTTAGTAGTTGAGTATCTCAGAACATATTGATTTTAGTTAGATGTAAGGTAACCAACTTTCGTTAGCAAAGCTTTTTGCTATTGTTCAAACTAGCGACGATACCAAGGTGTCCAATTTCTGGTCGATCACTTGTATCTACGACTGAATATTTTACCAGTATTGCAATCCCTAGTCGGATAGCCAGAAATTCTGTTTGTCCGATTCCAGTGAAGCAGGGACGGAACCTCATTCCGATGGATCCGAACGGCTTGTCGGATCCCTACGTCAAGCTGAAGTTAATCCCGGATTCGGACAACGTCAAGAAGAAAACAAAGACAATCAAGTCCTCCTTAAATCCAGAATGGAACGAGACAATCATTTTGTAAGTCGCAGATGGACCTTGGAGAGTCTTCTCTCTTGCAAGAGTTAAAGCAAACTGTTGGAGTCTCCAATCAGTTTAAGCCAGTTTGACTATCTTTATTCGATTGTAGAATAGAATCAATATTATCGATTTTAGTTCTTGAACAAGAAAACGAGGACACGGCTGACCTCTATCAGATTTTAACTGTCTTATGATACGCCTTAGTGGGTTCCAAAATTGTTTTCATCCAGAAGACTGAAATTAACGCGCGCCATGGGATAAAATGTCTTCTCTGTAAAGCGAACAAATCAATTGCTTTGCTAGTATTGTAGATTATTTAATATACAGGGTGAGGCATTTTAAACAGGTCACCTGAATAACTCGCTTGTTTTTGAAGATAGGAGAAAATGCATTAGACCAAACTTATTTGGTATCGGGGGGCTCATAATCTGGTATTACCAATTTTTTTGTAGGTGGAGGCGTCAAGGAGATATGAAGGTCAACTTTGTTTTTTTAAATGGAACAGTATACTTTATTACTTACATTCTGATAGAGTGTTTCAAGGCGAATACAATGACCTATTATTAAGGTCATTCAAGGTCACCCAAAGTCAACTGCAATAGAAAATAAATTGTGTCAAAGCACTCTTCGAACACTTGGATACTTTGATACTGCTATTACAAGTGTTCAAAATGGCGACCTTGAACATGGATACATAGTCTAAATCGTTGCAATACTGATGACACTGCCTGGCAAATTTCATTTGTATCTATTACAGAGCAAGCTCTTCTTATACGTTCTTGCATGTCAAGTTTGGTAGTTGGTTTTTCGCGGTACACTTCTGCCTTTAATTTTCCCCACAAATAAAAATCGAGAGGTGTCAGGTCTGGGGATCGTGCCGGCCATTTGTTACTTCCTGATCGACCTACCCAAGAATCTCCAAATTTTCTATTTAGAAATTCTGTAACATTGCGTGCTGAATGAGCAGGGCATCCGTCTTGCTGGAACCACATGGATTGTCGTATGTCCAGTGAAGTGTCTTCTAACAATTCTGGCAAAACGTCTTCTAAGATTCTCAGGTACTTACTACTATTTAGCGTGCCATCAATAAAATATGGACCAATTATTTTATTATGAAGAAGACCGCACCAGACGTTTACAGACCAAGGTCTCTGTTTGTCGACTTCTCTCAACCATCGTGGATTATCTACCGACCAGTAGTGCATGTTGTGACGGTTAATTGCTCCATGGTTTGTAAATGTGGCCTCATCGGTAAATAACAATTTACTCAAGAACATTTCATCGTCTTGTAGTTTTTGTAAGCCCCATTCACAAAATTGTAAACGTTTTGTATAATCATTTTCAGTTAATTGTTGATGAAGTGATATGTGGAACGGATGAAATTTGTTAATGTGTAATATTCGTAAAATACTTCGTTGACTGATGCCACTTTCGCGTTCCAGTTGTCTTGTACTAACATGTGGATCTTGTATTACAGCTGCTACAATATTTATCGAGTTTCCATCATCAGTTGCTCGTTTGGCAAGATTACGTGTTTTGTTATCCACAGTTCCAGTTTCTTGGAACTTTTTTATAATGTTTGTAAAGACAGAAAGTGAAGGTCTATTATTACGATCGGGAAATCTTTCACTATACACACGTACCGCTTCCCTCATAATTCTATGACATTCACCATAAATAAGAACCATTTCTACTTTCTCTGCTATCGTGTAACGCATTTTAGAAAACTAAACACTTAGACTGAATAAATGTTACGAAGCTGTGCTCTAGTCGGTAGTCAAATTACCAATAATGTTTGAGGATACGGATAAGCGTACAATGTGATTGAATGTTTGTTTATCTTTTGTGACCCGTGTCACGCAATACACACACGTGATACACAAGTATTCGAAATGTACTCTGACACAATTTATTTTCTATTGCAGTTGACTTTGGGTGACCTTGAATGACCTTAATAATAGGTCATTGTATTCGCCTTGAAACACTCTATCAGAATGTAAGTAATAAAATATACTGTTCCATTTAAAAAAACAAAGTTGACCTTCATATCTCCTTGACGCCTCCACCTACAAAAAAATTGGTAATACCAGATTATGAGCCCCCCGATACCAAATAAGTTTGGTCTAATGCATTTTCTCCTATCTTCAAAAACAAGCGAGTTATTCAGGTGACCTGTTTAAAATGCCTCACCCTGTAGAGTTCGAGAATTTGTAGACCCAATAGATTCCTTAGATAGTATGTAAGTTCGTCAAAATCAAAATGGAGTCCAGTCGTGGTCCCTTCTGGCGAGTCTCGGTACCTTCTTGGTGGTTGGCGAGAGTCTGGAGCACAGGTTTGTCCTTTCAGCGACCTGAAACCAGAGGACAAAGATCGGCGACTGTTGATCGAAGTTTGGGATTGGGATCGAACGTCCAGGAACGATTTTATGGGATCCCTTTCCTTCGGGATATCGGAGCTGATGAAAGCACCAGCCAGCGGATGGTTCAAGCTCCTCACGCAGGAGGAAGGGGAATATTACAACGTACCTGTGCCGGAAGAAGGCGTGGATCTTGCAGAACTAAAGGTCAAGATGCGAGTACGTTTTATGGAATGCTAGATAATTTGATTCCACGAAGACAGAATCTTCTTCCACGATTCCACTTTCTCACGGGAGAAATTTCGTTTTTCCAGAAAACCTCGGTCACGAAAAAGACCACGACCACTCAAGACAAGGAGGTGCCGCACAACATGGGCAAGAGCGATCTGATCAGGGCAAGCGACTTCAATTTCCTGATGGTGCTCGGCAAGGGCAGCTTCGGCAAAGTTGGTCATCCGTTTGTTGGAACGTCAAAGCCTGATTCCCATTAACGTACCAGGGACACGTTGATTAGGCCTACGTTCACGCTTGAAAAAAAAAAAAATATAACATTTTGTTTATGCTTTTATTACCTAGGTTTTAGTGGCTACGAAACTCTTTGATAACATTGTTTACTATTTTAAATAATTGTAATAGGATAAGGAAGGATCTAATATGGCGGCTTGAGTTAATCTCTAACCTCAAAATAAAATATGTAATTGTACTAATTGCTAAAATATCTTTCTACGTTGCCTTCGTATATCGAGAACGTCATGAATGAAAATAAAAATAATTTACCTTATTTCCTTGGACATCTACGGACTCTGCATATTTTGTATTGCCATACGCTCGAGCTAATGGGAATCAGGGTTAAATACAGGCTCGCAGCCTGAAACTTTACCCTGCCAAACGACGAATTTCAGGTGATGTTGGCCGAAAGAAAAGGTACAGACGAGTTGTACGCTATAAAAATCTTGAAGAAGGACATTATCATCCAGGACGACGACGTAGAATGCACCATGGTAGAGAAACGCGTTTTGGCGTTATCAAGTAAGCCCCCGTTCCTGGTGCAACTGCACTCCTGTTTCCAAACTATGGACCGACTCTATTTCGTGATGGAGTACGTCAACGGAGGAGATCTGATGTACCAGATACAACAGTGCGGCAAGTTCAAAGAGCCAGTGGCAGTGTAAGTGCCCCCCTGGGTTTTCTAGCAAACAAAAAGATACACCTAAAATATACAGGGTGTTCGGCCATTCCTGGGAAAAATTTTAATGCAAGACTCTAGGGACCAAAATAAGACGAAAATCAAGGATACTAATTTGTTGATTGAGGCTTCGTTAAAAAGTTATAAAAACATTTTCGGTCAAGAATTTTTTTCTTCTAAATGCGCAAGATTTTGGGGGTATGTCTATTCACAAAAAATGATTGAAATTGACCCCCGCAATCGAAAATAATTTTTTCAGAACGATTTGAAATTTTTCTTTTACGACGAAAAATTTGTCTACATACTCGAATTTTTTTCTCGAAAGTGCTTAGGATTTCGGAAGGTTGTCTATTCACCAAAAATTATTGAAATTGACCCCCGCAACCGAATATAATTTTTCCAGAATGAATTGAAATTTTTTAATTTTGTCGAAAAATTTGTCCGCCTACTCTATTTTTTTTCTAAAAAATGCGTTGGATTTCGGGGGTATGTGTATTCACCAAAAATGATTGCAATTGACCCCCGCGACTAAAAATAATTTTTTTAGAACGATTTCAAATTTCTTTTTTTGACGAAAAATTTGTCTACATACTCGAATTTTTTTCTCGAAAATGCGTGGGATTTCGAGGGTGTGTCTATTCACCAAAAATGATTGTAATTGACCCCCGCAACCGAAAATAATTTTTCCGTGAATGATTTGAAATTTTTTAATTTATTTTTTTAATAACTTTTTAACGAATAGAATCTCTAGAATCTCCCATTAAAATATTTCTCAAGAGTGGCCGAACACCCTGTACAAAATCCGCTGATGGTTTTTATTGTGACGTCATACCTCCCGTACTTGCCACTAGAGGGCTACGTTGCTCTTGTCTCTCTCGCAAGCTCTGGAAAAACAGACACTTCTGTTCCTATATATACACTCGTTGACCAACTGTCTAATATCCTGATTGAGGAGCGTATATGTGGAAACGGAAGGGTCAGTCGAGCACTTGCGGGAGACAAGAGCGCAGGCCCACTGGTGGTGAGTAGAGAAGGTGACGTCACAGATGTTATATATTTATACATTCAGTTTTGTTAAAGGTACTAAAATGACCTATAAATATCGGTATTTTATCGGTATCTACACTCGTTAAGATACACTCTTTACAAATGGAGAACGCGATTTCTAGATTCTACGCGTCCGAAATAGCGATCGGTCTGTTCTATCTTCACGGTCGCGGCATCGTGTACCGAGATTTGAAGCTGGACAACGTTCTGCTGGACCACGACGGTCACATCAAGATCGCTGACTTTGGAATGTGCAAGGAGGGTATCACCGGTGACAAGACCACCAAGACCTTCTGCGGGACACCGGACTACATAGCTCCAGAAGTCTGTTCTAGCTCGGTTTCAACGCGAAACTAATTCAATCAGCGAATAAATGCCCCGTTACCGATCGGTTCTGTTTCTCCTCGTTACAGATCATCCTGTACCAACCGTACGGGAAGTCGGTCGATTGGTGGGCGTACGGAGTCCTGCTCTACGAAATGCTCGTCGGTCAGCCACCGTTCGACGGTGAGGACGAAGAAGAACTATTCGTCGCCATCACCGATCACAACGTCAGCTATCCGAAAAGTCTCTCGAAGGAAGCCAGGGAAATTTGCAAAGCGGTAAACGCAAATATTAAAGCGTATTTATATTATTTAACCCCTCGCCGTACAATGGCGAAGTCTGACTTCTTTGTGCCAAGTTTCACAATAATGAGTAGCTACGCTCGACGAAAAATCTCGTCGTATATTGCAATCAATATGTTTCAAACGTTGCACAAATTTATATAAAATGAAATTACTTGTTATTAAATCGTACATCAAGGGGTTAATGCGTTCGCTACCACCGGGTACTTTGTTGAAAAGTGTAAGACTCGAAAACTCTTCGTTGTCAAACCGTTGTAACAGTTGGTCTCTGGTGAGAATGCTTCGCAAATATGCGACGCGCGGTAGCGAGCGCGTTAAACTTTAATTACATTCCCGAGCAGTCACTCTGAATGTACTTTTTTCGCGGCTCAGTTCCTCACAAAGAATCCAGTGAAGAGATTGGGCTGCGGACTGCGAGGCGAGGAAGACGTACGCAGTCACGCGTTCTTCCGACGCATCGATTGGGAGAAGATAGAGAATCGCGAGGTGCAACCGCCGTTCAAGCCAAAGATCGTGAGTATTGAAGCAATTACACGTACAGCAATACCCCGCTTGTATGTCACCAAAAAAACATTTCTCGTCTCCAGAGCTTGAAAATAATTGTTACAAACCGTCATATAAAAGTTCTAGTTGAATAAAAGTTCTTCATAACTGTTTCAATAACCTCAATACCTATATTATAACAGTTTTCAAGGCCTGATTTCAAAATGCATGATTTTAATTTAACGTAATTATGTGTCTCATAGTCATTTCTCTAGAATTCCTATTATTTCTCAAAACAAATGACTTTCGAGACATCCAATATACACGGTGTTCGACCATTCCTGGAGAAAATTTTAATGGGAGATTCTGGAGGCCAAAATAAGGCGAAAATCAAGAATACTAATTTGTTGATGGAGGTTTCGTTAAAAAGTTATTAACAAAATTAAATTAAAAAATTTCAAATCATTCTGAAAAAATTATTTTTGGTTGCGGGGGTCAATTACAATAATTTTTGGTGAATAGCTATACCCCCGAAAGCCTACCCATTTTCTAGAAAAAATTGAAGAAGGTGTGAAATTTTTCAACAAAATTAAAAAATTTAAAATCGTTCTGGAAAAATTATTTTCAATTACGGGGGCCAATTACAATCGTTTTTGGTGAATAGATATACCCCCGAAATCCTACCCATTTTCTAGATAAAAATTAAAGGTGTGAAATTTTTCAACAAAATTAGAAAATTTCAAATCGTTCTGGAAAAATTATTTTCAATTACGGGGGCCAATTACAATCGTTTTTGGTGAATAGACATACCCTCGAAATCCTACCCATTTTCTAGAAAAAAATTGAAGAAGGTGTGAAAGTCAACAAAATTAAAAAATTTCAAATCGTTCTGGAAAAATTATTTTCAATTACGGAGGCCAATTACAATCGTTTTTGGTGAATAGACATACCCCCGAAATCCTGCGCATTTTTTAGAAAAAAATTCAGTACGGACGGAATTTTAAACGTTAATAACTTTTTAAGGAAGCCTCAATCAACAAATTGGTATTCTTGATTTTCGTCTTATTTTGGCCTCTAGAATCTTCCATTAAAGTGTTACCCAGGGGTGGCCGAACACTTTGTATAAAAGACATTTTTGTACAATTACTATTATATAAATTAGATTTGTAGATATATCAACGGACAGGGTTAGGCAAAAGATAGTTCAGTCAATAGTATTGTCAGATAGTTGAAAAAATGAAGGGCTATAATAATTGATAATAATTTTATTTAATAACTTCGTCTTACGAAACAGAATCGTGAGTGGAAAACGAGTTTTAGAATCGTTGGTATAAACAAGAGCGACTGGGACGACTCCATAGTCACTGAACGGTTGGCATACAAGCGGCAGTTATTGTATTCGACAGATGGCGCGCCTAATTGAAAAAGAAAGAACGCTAATGTATGTCGTTTTCGTTCGTTAGAAACATCGCAAGGACGTGAGTAACTTCGACAAACAGTTCACGTCAGAGAAGACAGATTTGACGCCCACGGACAAGTTGTTCATGATGAACCTGGACCAGACAGAGTTCATGGGTTTCTCTTTTCTCAATCCAGAGTTTGTGCAACACGTTTAAACGGATAGAGTTTTTTCTCGTTAGTTGTAACCTCGCCGTACGTTTCTCCCCGCCATTTCCTGGGGTTCATCTTCCTCTTTGCTACTCAGGGCTTTCACCGTCATCTTCTTTCCCTCTCTTTGTCCCTTCCCCTTCCCTTTCCCCTTTCCCTGTAAACCAACTCTAGACCATTAAATTTCCGTTTCTCCGCTTCGTATTTTGGGTTCCGGTTTTGCTTGAGTTTCGATTCCGGAATCGTCACGGGTGCAGCAACATCCGTCGTGGCCCGAATGACCCTACGTTGTTGCTTTCCTTCTTCTTCTTATTATTATTATTAACCTTGTCGAAAAGTCTCACATTGGCTTTTCGAAAGTATTTTTTTACCAAAGAATGGAGATGTTCGCGCGCGTTGGCAGCGCCGCGATGGAATAGGCGAGAAACACGACGTTGATCGGGATCGATGGATTCGTCGAACGAATCCGAAATGGTGGTTAGATTATCAAGGAAAGGACGAGAATAATACTTTCAAAACGATCGCGTTGGGAAATCGTGTTTACCCGCGATTGGATGAAATAGCGAAAGTTTCCTAATTGCTGTCCTCGTTCTTCGCGTACATTATTATGCATTTACTTCAGTAGGTTCTACTGTCGCCTTCCAGAGTATATAATATATAATGTGCAGGGTGATTCTGTTTACTGGGACAGACTGTATCTTCTTTCTACGTGCAATTAAAAAAAAAAATCATCGTTAAAAGAAAGATTTAGGAAAATGTGAAGGCACAAGTGCAATATACACTTCTTGTTGAAGGGGTTTTGCATATTAAAATATTAAAGTGTGACTTTACGAGATATTTTATATTTTACACTGAGAAAATTACTTCATTCGAATATAATTTTGCAAATGCGGTTTTATTCGCTATTCAAGCCTCCAATAAGTTGACATAGTGTTAGATATCATGTGTAACTTTAGAGGTTATGTGCAATTGAAGTCCAGTGGTTGTTGAGATCATTGAACATAAATGGTCAAATTTATAATCTTTGTGTCTTTGTGTCTGCGAATACACTTTGTCTTTTTAATTAGGTATAACAGCATGTAACGATTATACCTGATCGTAATATTCAGTGTGACACATCTATGGCAATCATTCGTTTTAACTGCATTTCACAAATGCACGGAACATATCAATTTTCTCATTATAAATGAAACCTGTTACGTGTTTCAAACCGGTCAATGCAATTATGAAGGAAAATACGGGAAACAAAAACACTCGACACTCCGATCGATCACGAACCGAATGAAATGTGTTTACGGTGCTGCATTGTTTACGTTCACCCGTAGTCACGGTCAACGGTGCTACGTGCCTAGCATTATAAATGGCAATTGCAAATGGCGGTGCTTGAATGTACACATAAATTACGAAATATCTCGTATTTTGTTTTCAATCGTCGTACTTTAATACTTTTATATGCAAAATGTGCGAGGAAGATCGATTTATGCAAATAAATATTGGTACTTTTGTTTACAGTTTTATTTAAATTATGACGAGCAACGGAGATGGGCGGTATTTTATTCGAATAACAGACGACGAATATAGATATACATAAATTTCTACAACGTTTTATTAGATTTATAATTTTTAGCGAACAAATAGATAGATTTTTACCCATCTCTGGCAAATGTATATTTCTTTTTACTTCTACGCGTTAATTTTCTTTTTTTCACTCGACACTGCATTTCTTAATGTATGCAATCTTGGTACAATTAAGACGTATTATTATTATTACTATTACTGTTACTGTTATTATTATCATTATCATTATCATTAATATTATTATTACCATTATTATTATTATTGTTATTGTTATTGTTATAGTCTTAACTACGGCGTACGATTGTTTCCCCCTACAAATGTTTTGTGTCCCCGCGTAAACCAGAGTTACAGACTGTTCCCACTTTGTAGAATCAGCCTGTACATTTGATGAACGAATGAATATATATTATTATATATACGCATACATTGTACGTATACAAACACTTACACTACTACGATCTATTACACGTTACACAGAAATTTCTTATCGGTATTTCGTTAACGTTGCACTCCTCGTCGATTTATTCTTCGTAAGTAGTAGAGATACGTACGTAGAAACGAGCCCTTAGATGCTCAGCTCTCATGACTGGTTGAAATTTCATTGGCGATTCGGACATTCGATTCGTATCGTCCTACATATAATACGTTTACGCTCACCGTAACACTCGTACAGTGCTCGGTGCATGCATACACACGCACACACACACACACACACACAAAACTTTACACATCACACGAAGAAAATTGTAAAATACAAACCACGTTTGTTCTCTGAAATTGATTGGTCGCCGATACGTCGGTATATAAAATTGACGACTATAAATATAATAATTTGTTGCGAGGCGAGGATACGTCGAGTCGTTGATGGCTGTTACGGATAATTGATGCTGGCGGAAGATTATCGTACGCTTTAGCAGTCATGAAGATAATAAACGAATTACGCCCGTTTGTCCGTTCAATCGGACGTTGTCCTTTCTAGTTTCTATTACTCGTTAGCTCTCATTCGCTTCCCCTGTTATTAAAATATTTTTCCATTTCGCCTAGCGATGGGACCGACGTGTATTTCAAACCGTCAAGCGACAAATAATTGCTTTCCCTAAAATTGACGTTTATTTTTCTATGCGTTGTATTCGGAAACACGTTATTAAACAGGGGGAAAAATAGCTTTTCAGTCTGTAAATTGTTCTAGTGAAAAGTTGTCAGCATGGACCGAGTGGCGTGTGGATGAGATCGATTATGTACTCTTTATTGTCTCTTATACTATCATAGGTTCGAAATCGAGGTATGACAATAGGAACATTATACATCTTAGATATTTCACATATCTTGAACAATCCCCACTAGGAGTTAAAGCATTGGATGTTTCTTCATTTCCACGCTATAACCTAAAAAAATACCAAAGACGACAGGTTATGTGGAAACAATTGGCGCTGCGTCGGCGTGTTAATCCCATCGCTAGTTTGACCGTCTCGTTTTCGACGAGCTTGTCAAAATAAATTCGTATACAGGTTTGCGAACAGCAAACTATATTCTCCGTGTCTTCTTTGTGTTTCCCTTCGTTTGCGTATCTTCGTGTTTTCCATTGATTCGAAACCGTGGAAGGGCCTCGGTGTTTCCTAAAATGCTCTTCTCGTGCCTGAAATCCTCGCTCCAGTGATATACGCCTTTTTATCGAGCCTGTCTCGGCTCGGAACGTCGAGGACGAGAACAGACCAAAGGACAATATCGAGTCTGAGAATACGAAAAATGGTAAAGGAAACTCATCTCCGCGTACTGTTCTCCTCCTCGAATTTCTCTTTTTTAGTCGGCTTGCCCGCCGACGCTCGATAGTAGGATTAATTATTGATTCTCGATTAATACGCGTTATTGTCGTAGAGGTAGTTGACCAGCCTGTCGACTTCAGACGGACGTATCCTTTTTTATACACTTCGTGTCAGAGACTCGTCGAGCGATGACCAGCCGTTCAACGGTAGAATCTGACGAAAAAGACAAATTGTTTGTCCGACAGTAATGGGAACGATACAATTGTGTATCGACGATGTCTACCAATTCGATACCAAAGTACTTAAGAGAGAATATTCGAAGGTATCGAAATATCAGGTACTTGGTATCCATTTCTAATAAAAATGCTTTTGTAATGAATACGTGACTGATAACATCGTATAGTACCGAATATGCATTGATATTATCATAGTGTGTCGCAAAAAAGAAAAAAAATCGGGTATGTAATAAGCAGTGCAAGCAGAAGGATAACATTTTAAGTCACTATAAAATCTAATCGGTATAAGTAATTACACTGTTGTCTCTCACGTTGTCACAGGTTCTGGTTCGGGTTACGACAATCTATACGACTTTACAGAGAGTCTCTCAGTATGTCATAGACTTGGAATCGACCTGTGACAACCTGAGGGACAGTTAGGCGAAATTTAATCGATGTTATTTCTTTCGTTAGTTTCACTTTATATACAGTATTACCTCTCAGCATGTCACAGACCAATGACTGTGTTGTGACAACTTGGGAGACGTGTAGGCGAAATTTAATCACTGTCATTTTTCTGACTCTCTCGATATTATGTAATATTATTGCTGCTCAAGTCCGAACTGAGACAATCTAAAGATTAGGTGGGCGAAATTTAATCGCTGTTACGTGTTTGAGTCGCTTTGGCTTTGAATACGTTGGAGACACGAGTAAAAATCGCTCTAAGAGATATAGTCAAACTGTAGCGGTAATAATCTAAATATAATTGAAGTGATAATTGAAGTTAGGTTCAAAAATCATTTCAGCCGCATATACACACTATACTAATCATATTTTCGCTCTTCGTGTATACTGCATATTTGTATTATTAAACAGGGTAAGCAACAAAGACGTTAATAAACAAATCAATAATTATGTGACAACTTGAGAGAAAGTACTATATTCGAAGTTGTATCTGCAACTATTTGTTTCATACCGATAAAACGTTGTTTCTTATTTTCGATACATTTACGATATTATCAATGCCGACTCGGTATATACAGGGTGTTCGACCAATCCTGGGAAAAATTTTAATGGGAGATTCTAGAGGCCAAAATAGGAGGAAAATCAAGAATACCAATTTGTTGATGGAGGCTTCGTTAAAAAGTTATTAACAATTAAATTAAAAAATTTCAAATAGTTTTGGAAAAATTATTTTCGGTTGCGGGGGTCAATTACAACCATTTTTGGTGAATACACATATTTCCGAAATCCTATCCACTTTCGAGAAAAAAATTCGAGAATGAGTGAAATTGTTTGACGGGGAAAAAAAATTTCAAATAGTTTTGGAAAAATTATTTTTGGTTGCGGGGGTCAATTACAATAATTTTTGGTGAATAGACATACCCCCGAAATCCTGCGCATTTTCGAAAAAAAAATTCGAGAATGAGTGAAATTGTTTGACGGGGAAAAAAAATTTCAAATAGTTATGAAAAAATTATTTTTGGTTGCGGGGGCCAATTACAATAATTTTTGGTGAATAGACGTACCCCCGAAATCCTATCCACTTTCGAGAAAAAAATTCGAGAATGAGTGAAATTGTTTGACGGGAAAAAAAATTTCAAATAGTTTTGGAAAAATTATTTTTGGTTGCGGGGGTCAATTACAATAATTTTTGGTGAATAGACATACCCCCGAAATCCTGCGCATTTTCGAAAAAAAAATTCAGTACGGGCGGAACTTTAAACGTTAATAACTTTTTAACAAAGACTCCATCAACAAATTGGTGTTCTTGATTTTCTTCTTATTTTGGCCTCTAGAATGCCCCATTAAAATTTTTCCCAGGGGTAGCCGAGCACTCTGTATAGTATTGGTATCGATTAATAGTTTAATTGAAAAAGTATCGTCATCCAAGATGGACGCCAAGTTGTTTTCTGGTATAGAGACTGGTATTAGTCCCATCTTTGCTAAGTGATCTTGATGTGGGAACTTGCAAAGTTCAGAGTACGCCGGAAACGTTGGCTACGCTCGCTCGTCGAGAATACTTTAGAAAATGAAATATTCACAGAGAGACTCGTACATTTTTCCTTGACTCGGGCTTCGATTCGTATCTTTGAGTCAGTCTAGGATTCCCCGATTTATCGATTTATTCGTTGCCGCGTAGCGAATGGCGTTTAGCTTAAGACTAGAATAAAAGACCACGGCAACCGCGGTTCGTGAATTTAGCGCTTCGGTAACTTAAAACGAGTCAAGAAGATAGGTAATTCCGTTGCCGATTTCCGTGCTAGAATATACAGAGCGTAGTATCCTTGCAGTCGTTAGAACGTTTATATTATACACGTGGTAATCGCCGGATAACTGAAATGAAATAATCCCTAACCTTAAAATGTAAGGTTAGAATGCGAAACAGATCAACTTGCTTCTTCTGTGTTATGTTTTTCGAAACTTGCGTTTATCTTCGTATAAAGTATATTCAATGAATTGCTTAAAATCTCCCGATGAAAATGAGTACAAACACGACCACGTTCGGACCACTTTTAATCATAAGTAATTGGAAAATTTTCAAAAACACGTATATTGAAAAGTATTCCGAATGATAGTCGTATTCAGATTCATTCTCACCGGAAAGATCTCACCGATTCGCTAAGTTTTATCAGTGAATGACTCATCCCAAAACATGTCGGTCTCCCGGTTAGATGGTGCATAGGAAACCCGGTTTCAGTCCGAGATAAAAAGTATTTACTCCTATACCTGATACCTTCGAGTACTCAAATTTATTTCGCTTATCCGACGATTACTGTATTTCCTTTTTCCTCTTGACCATCACCCTTCAGCCCCCCCACCCCCACCCCCCCACCCTCCACCCTCCACCCTCCACCGACTGTCCCGCGATGGAAAGATTACGAGTTCGCGAAGTTTCGGAACAAATCGAATATATTAATTGCGTCTTATTAAGCGTGTTCCAAATAAATAAGTATGTATATCGTAACGTAGTTCTCGCCCCCTTATTCAGCGGGTGGATCCAATCTTGTTCTTCGATCGGGCGTGCTTTTACGTAGTCTCGTCGGTATTTCTCGTCTTACCTGATTTAATCGTTCGAGTCGGTTCACGTCGAGTCCAGAGTCCCCCCAGCCGTTCGCAGCTCGTCTCGGATTCACCGACGGTGCGGTTCGTTTTCGCCGGAAGTCTCGAGTAATCGCGATGCTCGACGGGACGAATCGCCGGCGACGAAGCTGAACACAACGTACGGGGAAATTCTGTTCTGGATTCAATTCGCGACGCGTCCAGGGTAATTGGTCTCGGAACATTTACATTCCAGAGATAGTTCGAGGGGTAGATCGAGCAATTCCGTTTAGGTACTAAATATTCGACCGCGAGACTGCGTAACCTCCGCCTGAGCTCTATTTTTGTACCAAAAACTGACGGAAAATGGCCAAAAAAAAAAAAAAAAAAAGAAATAATAACGAAGGAAAATAAAAGAAAACATACACTCGAAAGGGAATCCGTCGTGAACCGCGACGGTGGATTCCTTCCTCTTCCTGCTCGTTCGAGTGAACGATACTTTCTCCTGTCACCGTGCCGTGGCATCTTTCGTAGCGGTCTTTTAGCCTCTACATGATTCAAAACACGTTGTAAAAAAAAAAAGAAAAACCACTGACAAGGATAGTCGATATAAGCCGACATCTATATCGGAAGAACGACGATCGTCGTCGACGATCGATCTCTCGAGAAACGCAGCTACCGGCTCAAGCGAAACGATCACAGGCGATTCGATGGAAACGAGACTAGTGGAGAACGACCAGCGATCGAGAATTTCGCTTCGACGCGACGACGAGACACGACATCGCTGTTCGTCCTTGTCTTTTCGTCACAGGTTATAGAATTGCTCGCTAGATGGGACAGTTCCAATCCGGGGAGATCATGGAACGTGTCGAACAAGCGACAATGCGTTTACAACAATTTCGCGCCAATTTTATTTCTCACACTTTACCGTCCGCGGGGCTTGCGTGAAAATTAAGTACATTTAAATTGTATCTCGGTAAATGATTAATATTACTTATTGAATTACAATATCGATATTATTTTGTTATTATTTATTATAATAAATCATTATAACTTATTATTATTTATTTTTCAATAGGATATTTATGATATTATTAGAATATTACTAGGATATTACTAGGATATTTTACCGAAACGATTTCATTTAATATTGGCGATATGCATCATTTGTATTATACTGTAAAGTGAATCACCGCCAATTGTAACACTAGCATCGTTTAACTACTTTCTCTGGAAGCAGTATATAACCTATAAGTGCAATTTGTTACTTTTCCTTACCTGGAATTCTTGAAATTTTATGCTTATGTCCAAAGAAAGTCGTTTATTTTTCCGATCAGACTAATCCTTTCGGACCGGGAACCGATACTTCTTTTTATACAGTATCGACAAAATTGCAAATGTACAGAGTGTAGTATACACGCGACATAAAAATATTAAAATATCAAATTCACACATGTTACCATCGGGTTCGAAAGGACTATACTAAGATCAATAGGTATTGTACAATTATGTTATATATTTGTAAATATATTATACTTTCTGGAATAAGCGAGCAACACATGACATGCGTGCGTGACAACGGCTGACAACGACCGGACGCTTGACAGCGGATGGTAAAGTGTTAATAGAGACATAGGGCAGACATTGGATATCTCTTTGTCTCTATTTACAGCACTGCCTTGCTTCTTGCGTCAATTTGCGTCAAGGATATTCGAAAATGAATCTTACCTTCTTCGACCGTTGTTTGTTTCTTCAGCTCGAACGACCGTCGAGTCGTGAGATTGGCAGCTGTCTGACCAATTCTTGACCAAACCTCTTGATATGAAACTTGCTTGTCCCCCATTTGATCGCAAGAAGGGAGGCAGTATTATATCCTCCTTTCTCCAAATTTTCTTTCTATCGTCGATCGTTGACTTTCTCTAACAATCTTCTCCCTAATTCTTTTTCGCTCCATCTGTTTTTGTCTTTGGCATCCTGTCCACTATACTCGTAAAAGTTCCATTTGAAAAGGTAAGGGGTAGAGAACGGTAACCGCTTATGCAGTTTTCGACATCGATGGGATGAGCAGGCACGCTCGTTTACCGCGTTTAGGACGAACATCTGCAAACACTGTGATAGTGGACGAACATAACCTCACATCGAACGGCCCTCGAGCCGTAATGGTGGACGTTATGGCGACAAAGTAACTTAACTTCGTAAATCGTGCACCTTCAATGACATATCTTTTGCTCCGCACAATTATTTACGATCGGATTGAAAGAACGCGTCGCAGAGCGGTTAACGAGTACGTCTGCTGGTTCGATAATGATAATAAAAAAAGATTTTTGAGGTTTCCAGGAGCCAGATTCTTACAGATAGTTCTGTTCGAGGCTTCCAGGGTGCAAGGTATCCTTTTGACAAACCGTTCCGACGATATCGCGATGGCGTAAATCTTGATTTTCAACGAGCTTTTGCACCGTTACAGTACTCGAAGTACCGAATTTTATTTGGTTATGGTTTCAGCATAGAAAAATTCTATTGTAGGCGGGTTCGAGTTTTGGTTAATATTCAATCTTCTGATTAAATTTTTTGTATCTCATTTTGTTAAATATATTTTAAAATTCACACGTAAACATTAACACATTAACCAATTAACAATTAACCGATGAAACATTTTTCCAAAAGGACGGACCTTGCACCCGAACGCCGCAGACAGTATCAACTGTAAAATTAAAAAAATGATACTAATAATTAATAATGAGAAAAATGCAGGATATTCGAAATCTAGCGAATATAATCCGCGTAGCTCCGTTCATTCTCGAAGCTGTAACCAACTCTGTTGTTCTCTCGATTACACGTCGCATGATTATACACGTTTACACGTACACCCATATTTTTAAGATGTTTTTGTGCATTTATAATGTCGTAATAAAAGTTTCGAATCGTGTCATGAGAAAATTTGTTCGTGTCCTTGCGCCTGAACGCTTATGCGAAAGCACAAAGTGCTAGTACATACGAATTACGATCATAAATTCCTTCCGTTAAAAGCAGTTTGTTTACTTATTAATATTTTGTGAAAATGATATTCATTGAAAGAATTTAATTTCTGGTTTTC